CCGCCTCCGTTGACCTGCTGGCAATACTTTGCCTAATACAGCCCAGGATACCATTAGCCGCCTTTGCTGCTGGCTCATGTTCAACTTGGTTTCCACCAGGACCCCCAGGTCCTTTTCTGCCAAGCTGCTTTCCAGCTGGGTGGCCCCCAGCATGTGCTGGTGCATAGGGTTGTTCCTCTTCAGGTGCAGGACTTCGCACTTCCCCTTTGTTGAACTGCACGAGACTCCTGCCTGCCCATTTCTCCAGCCTGTTGAGGTCCCTCTGGATGGCAACACAAGCCTCTGGCCTATCAGACACTCCTCCCAGTTTGGTGTCATCAGCAAACTTGCTGAGGGTACACTCTGCCCCATCATCCAGATCATTAATGAAGATGCTGAATAGGACTGGACCCAGTATATTGGTCCCTGGGGTACACCGCTAGTTACTGGCCTCCAACTAGACTTCGTGCCACTGATCACCACTCTCTGGACTCAGCCATTTGGCCGGTTTCCAACCCACCTTACTGTCTGTTCATCCAGTCCATACTTCATCAGCTTCTCTACGATGATCTTATGGGAGACAGTTTCGAAAGCCTTTCTCAAGTCAAGGTAGACAATATGTCCCCTCGTCTACCAAGCCAGTCATTTCATTGTAGAAGGTTGTCAGCTTGGTCAAGCATGACTTCCCCTTGGTGAAGCCATGCTGACTGCTCCCGATTACCTTCTTGTCCTTCATATGCCTGGAATGGTTTCCAGGATTAGCTGTTCCTTCACCTTCCCAGGGATCAAGGTGAGGCTGACTAGCCTATAGTTCCCTGGGTCCTCCTTCTTGCCTTTCTTGAAGACAGGAGTGACATTTGTTTTCCTCCAGTCCTCAGGCACTCCTCCCAATCTCCAGGATCATTCAAAGATACTTGAGAGTGGCCTCACACTTCCTAAATAATATTTTCCCCACTCCAAGGGCACCAACAAACAGCATTTTCTTAAAGGGGACTTTGAAGTCCCTTCAATGATGTCAGAATATCTATTGTTACATCATCCTCTTTCTGGGCAGGTGCTGAAGGGCTGCACATAGCAAGTTTGGCAGGCTTATTTCATCACTTTGTTCTCAACCTGTTGGCTTTACAAGTGGTTACAATTTTGTAGGATGACCTGGGAGGCAGTTTTCGAAGGGAGGAGGGAAGAATTTGAGTGGGGTAACTCTGGAACTGTAGTTCATGAAGAAAAATGCTTTTTATTCTAGACAACTTTGACTCTTCCCTGCATAAGTGTACAACCAGAGTGCTAGGTTGTGCTCTCACATCCAGCCTTGCGCTGAGACAGTGGTGAGGCTGTGCGAACTCAGGAATGGCTCTGAGAAGGACAGTGGACCTGACAGTCCTAATCCCATCTCCACTCTCCCTTTTGTCTTGAGGGGAAACTGATTATTCCAGTGCAGATTGCATCTCCCTTTTGCTAGCTCACTTTTGCTGGTCAGCAATGTGGGAAGAGTCTTGAGGTTTTCCCTTGCACCTTCTTGCTTCTCCTGCCTTTCTTTGGGAGAAGTACTGGACATGCAACTGGTACTTTTACCTTCCCACACACTGACCATAAGGCGGGGAGCCCAAATTTAGGCAGCAGCAGATGGATAATTTTCTTCCCGCTTCAGCTATAAATAGTCACAGTTTATATTAAAAAGAATCATTATTATTGTTTCTTCCTACTGAAATTTGTTTCAAAGATCGATTTCTTATCTGCTTGTTCTATCTTCCTCACACCTTCCTCAACTCTTTAGGACTTCAGCATGCATTTGACAGTGACTGGGAAGCTGGGAAAATCACTTACAACAATTATAAAAATGGATCCGACGATGCTGTTCTGGCTTACAAACTCTTGGTGCAAACAGGCAACCGAGCAAAGCCCATTGACATCAGCCAGGTACTGTATCAGAGTCCATACTGGTTTATACAGGAACGCACAATCCGTCAGGAGTTGGGGGAGATGCAAGGAGCATGCCATAGCCTCTTTTTTCATCTTGCTGAATTGAAATTCCTGAGTTGTACCTAATTGCGTAGCCTTGTTGCCTTTGCTTGAGCTACATGTTAGCTGCAGAGTCTGGCATGTGTTGAGAAGTATTTAAAATCAACACCAGGCATGCCTATCCTTAAATGCTGTTCCTGTCTCATACACACACATGCAGTTTCCACTGCAATTGGTGTGAAAGATGCTACTCTGCATCCATAGGTAGATGGAGCCTGGTCCTATGCCAGATATACGGTCAATGTTAGCCTTGTTGCCCTAAGTGGCATCATTCCTGATTTGAATCAGATTTTTTTATAGGGCTGACCTTTGCTCAGCCTTCTGCTGTGGCTTTGAATCTAGTGTTTGCAATTATTTGGTTAGTTCCTACCAATTTATTCAAAACACACATTTTAAAGGAAGATGTTTACAAATGATAGTGACTGGAAGGGGACTGAAATAACTATATGCTGTACAATATTATTGTACTGCCATTACTAAATATAGATATACTGTAGTAGAACTGAGAATGACAGTTGGTTGAGCTGCCTAAATAAAATACATCTGAGCTTCTTTCATAAGGTTATCACAGCATATGACTGCATTTGCTGCTTTTTATTATCACATAGGTTGGTGAAACACACTAGGTTTGACTCCTTATGCCAAAATTTGATTTTAAACCTCTTAAGAAAAAATTCTGCAGTAACCTAGCTTCTCCTCTCCTAGAATCATCATTGACTCTTTGTGCTTTCAGGCAGAAAATAGTGTCTCTAGTGAGCTTCTCGGCAGATCTGCTTATTTTCTTTTTTAGCTGGCATTAAAGGTGACAGATTTATGGATTACATTGTTCAGTTACTATGGTGTGTAAAACACGTTGCTATATGGCAACATGCTGTCAGGTTTGAATGATGCTTCAGCTATGAATTTAGCAAAGGTAGGGAGCCAAAGAGAAAACCTTTAGTGAGATTTTGTTTAGCAGTGTGTACCACATACACTGCAGAACAAATGTGATTGGACTACAGCTGCTGATACAATTTCCTGTGCCTGGGAGGGAGAAAAGCATCGTGCATCCACAAGGGCTGAGTGCTGTACTATGCAATTCCAAAGACAGCTTGAAGACATACAGTTGTTACATATCCTGCGAATTAATTGAATCCAGATCCTTGGAATCTAGTTTGGGTGTGTGTGTGCTTTTTTTTTTAACTGCTGTCACTGTTGTTCTTCATTTCATTAAAAAGACCTGAAACTGGAGCCAAGCCAGAATTTTAAATAAACAAAGCAAAACAAAAAAAAACCAGTAATACTTTTAATCCAGAGTCCTCTGTCAGAACTCTAGCTGTGCAGTATTTGGCTGCAGAACCCTAGAAGTGTACCACTGCTGTTTACCCCACAGATACATTTGCCAACAGTGACCCAAATAACACAGTGCACTTGTCCACTTTTTTTGGCACTGGGCATTTTCTGAAATACATAGGTTATAGGAGACAAGTATGTCATGGTTTAACCCCAGTCGACAACCAAGCACCACACAGCCGCTCGCTCACCCTCCCCCCCTGGTGGGATGGAGGAGAGAATTGGAGGGGCAAAAGTAAGAAAACTCATGGGCTGAGATAAAAACAGTTTAATGAATGAAATAAAAAATAATAATAATAATAATAATAATAATAATAATAATAATAATAATAATGATAATGATAATAATGTAATGAAAAGGAAAACAACAAAAAGAGAGAGAGAAACAAAACCCAGGAAAAACAAGTGATATAACCGCTCACCACCCTCCAACCGATGCCCAGCCAGTCCCTGAGCAGCGATCGCTGCCCCCACCCAC